GAAGGCCTTACTGAGAAAATGACTTTTGAATAAAGATTTGTAAGAAGTGAGGGAGCTGGTCACATGAAAATATGGGAAAAGAGCATTCAAGAAAGAGGCAATAGCACATGATAAGTCCCTGAGGCCATACTTGCTATGTAGCATGTTTGATGTAGTCTGGTTAATCAAGGAAGCCTGAGTGACTAGAGCAGAGTGATCTAGGGAGAGATTTGGAAAGGAGGACAGGAGGAGGCAGATCAGAGAGATCCTTGCAGGCCAGTGAAAGAACTTGAGATTTTATTCTGAGTGAAATGGGATGCCTTTGGAAGATGTCCTATTTGAGCAAAGAAATAGCCTGATCTGACTTAATTTTTAACAAGATCACTTGTTAAAAAGTGGCTGTGTTGAGAAAAGAATGAAGGATGGAGGCAGGGTGGAGTGTGGGGGGAGACAGAAGCAAGGAGACCAACTAGGAAGCTATTAAAAATCCAAACATGAGATGGTGGTAGCTTGGACCAATATATTAACAGTGGAGATGGTGAGAAGTAGTCAGTCAGATTCTCATTATATTTTGGAGATTTTGGCAGAAAGGATTTGCTGGCTGATTGGATGTGAGATTTGAGAGAAAGAGAAATATCAAGGATGATGCCAAAGGTTTTGGAGTTGAACAAGTAGGAGAATGGCATTGTCATTTATTGAGCTGGGGCCGACTTCAAGGGGAACAGGTTTGGGTAAGATCAGTGTTGGTAAGTTTAACCATGCTAAGTTTGAGATGCGTATTGGACATCCAAGTAGGCAGACTATCAAGCAGGTAGTAGGATATATGAATCTGGGTTCAGGGGAGAGATAGGAGCATCCAGGGAGTCATCAGCATATAAATTTAAGCTATGAGACTGGATGAGATCATTAAAGGAGTGAGTGTAGGTGGAAAATAAAGCATGTTCAAAGACCGAGCCCTGGCGTACTTTGATGTTTAGAGGTCAGGAAAATGAGGCAAAATCTCATCAAAGAAAATTGAGAGTGCAGCAACCTGGAAGTTAAATGAAAAAGGTATTACAAGCAAGAAAGAGTAATCAGCTTTGTCAGATCCTGCCAACAGATCAAGTAAGATCAAGACCAAGAATTAAATGGTGGGTTTGCCAGTATGGAGGTCTTTAATGACCTCAGTAAGAGTATCTAAGAGTGGTTTAGATGGACTGGTGTAGATTCAAGAAATACGGGGAAGAAAAAATTGATGATATCAAGAATAAACTCAAGGAGTTTTGCTATAATGAAGGACAGAAATGAGGTGATAGCTGGATGGGAAGGAGAGGCAAGATGGGGTTTAAGATGAGAGAAATAGCTTGTTTGGATGCTGATGGGAATAATCTAGTAAGGGGAGAAGGGGCATACTGGAGCAAGAGAAGAGAATTGCAGTTATTTAGTTAATTGCAGTGTCCTTCAGAAGGCAAGAGGGGATGGAACCCAGTGAGTATGAGGGGGTTGTCTTTCATTTGGAGCACTGATAGCTCATGCCTAATCACAGGAGGAAAGCTGAAGTATAGCACAGATGGTGGAGGATAAGTAGACCTGGTCAAGGGTGCTTGGAAATGTTCTTTTGATTGCTTCTATTTTCTTAGTGAAATAGGAAGTAAGATTATCAGTCAGAGGGAGGACAGGGAAAGAGGTAATGAAGGCTTGAGGAAAAACAGTTAATAAATAATTGTCTAAGAGAAGAATGAATGTAATTGGGAAATCTTGTATGACTGGTGGGTAATATTAAAGACTGACTTACTGACTTGAAGATGGTGATTTGACTTTAAAATGAGACCAGTCAGCCTGGTTGGTAGTGTGTTTTTCTTTAGCCACATTCTGCTTACAGATGTAGTCATGGAGTAAGCAGACAGTTGTACTTAATAAGGGTTGGAGTTTAGCTTAATCCAGGGAATTTCAACAGTAGGACAAAGAGATTTGGGGTAGTATGCATAGCAGGGATTGTAATGATTTACCGTGGTTTTCAAGTTGAGTGTGGAAGGAACAGGGATGGAGATAAAGGAACTAAGAAATCAGGATGTTGGAAGGAAGGATCATCTGTGTGGATAATGAAATTACCAAAAATCACGACGAGATCTGTAGTGATGGAGCAGCAGAACCTAAAACTTACAAGGAATTGGGGAAGTGATGACGGTGAATAGATGCTTGCAAGAGGTAGAATAGAGTGGTAGGGTCTGAAGGTGTGCGCTTCAGAGTAGAGGGATTTTAAAAGAATGATGACGCAGTGGTTTGGAAGTTGGACTGAAGAACAAGAATATTTACCCCACCTCCCAGCACAGCGACGTGAGGCGTGTGGGGAGAAAACAGTCACTACTTGAGAGGGCTGCCAGAGACCTGGGCTGCTTGTAGTGACTGACATCTATGAGGAATAACTTCCTGTGGAGTCCGAAGTGCCCAATTCTGAATAGCCTCACCTCTGAGACAGCCACATCTTAATATTCCCAGGTCACTGTTACAGCAAACACTGACGTGGTTCTATTAACTTATTGGACTTCCCTGGCAAGCAGACAACATCGCACCACAGGGGAAGGCAGAAGAACCCACTCCCATTCCAGTTCTGTCTCTGATCCCTGGTTTGTGTCCAGCCAAGGCTGTGCATTGCTGTGCTCTAGCCCTAAGGAAGCCCTCATGTCACTGTGGAATGTGCTGGCTGGCTTGCAGTGCTTCATTTGGGATCTGTGGAGGAGGAAATAGCCAGAGAGAATGGACCCCTGCTTAACTGCTAGGAGCTGTGTTTCCCAAGCTTGTGTGCCTTGTGGACCAGCTTTAAAAATACACCACAGGCATAGAGCATCAGGCTGACTTACTGTTCTTGAGAAGGGCATTTCGTATAACAGATTTCCCACACAGGGACGTGGCCCGTGCAAAGGCCCTGGAGTGGGAAGGAATATGGGCATTCAGGGAGTGGGGCAGGAGTGAGGACACCTAAGGGGAGCAAGACTTAAGGGTGAGGCTGCTGCAGGCAGTGGGTGCCGAGCATGCAGGTCTTGGGGGCCATGTTAAAGATTTGGTAGGAGCAGCATGAAGTACCTGAGAGGATGTTAAGAAGGGAAATGGCATGATCAGATTTGAATTTTAAAGACTCCCTGTCAATTGTGTAGAAGAATGGATTGGAGGAGGGCAAATGTAGATGTAGACAATGACAATTAAAACGGTGCAGTAATATGTGTATAGTATAATTTAAAAATTTCATTTTATAATTTTCCAATTCCAAGTTGAAATAATACATTTAGTACTTTGGGGGTAGGGCAGTATTATGTTTAATTAGAGTTGTTGTCAGGTGTTATAGCCCACAGATATTTTAAATTTTTCTGTTTTAAAAGAGATCTGATTTTTAACTCTTAAAAACCATTGTCAGTTAAATTTCCAATAATTGTTCATTTTTAAAAATTTTTAATTAGAATTGCCAGTGCCTCGACCTTTGAGAAGGGTTTCTTAGAAATAGATCCGATTTTTAAACTATTTTCTTTAAAATGTGGTGTTAACTGCATTGCCATTGAGTCGATTCTAACTCATAGCAACCGTAAAGGACAGAGTAGAACTGCCCCACAGGGCTTCCAAGGAGTGCCTGGTGGATTCAAACTGCCAAATTTTTGGTTAGCATCCATAGGTCTTAACCACTACGCCACCAGGGTTTCTGGCAAAATGTGGTGTATTGGATGTTAATTTTTACACATTTCTGGGCACTGTTAGACAATATCTGGAAAGTATTTTGATCCATCAATGGAAAGCTAAACATTCTGAATTTAACATGAACAGACTTCTTTTTGATTCAGAAAATAAAATCAGATTTTTCAAATTAAAAAAAAAAAGAGTCTCCAGCAGAAGTGTAAACACAGCCTAGTGGTGGCTTAGAGTAAGATGGCGGTAATGGGGAAAAATGAAGCATAAAGATTCAAGAATTGTTTAGGAGATAAAATGAGCAAGACTCAGCTCTTGTTTGAATGGGAGGATTCTAAGACAGAGAGTGATCAGGAATGACTTCAGGGTCCCTGTCTGGCACAGCATTGTGGATGGTAGTAAAATGCATTGAGATGGAGACCACCAAAGAAAAACTAGAGTTGAGACTGGGACGAATATGTTGAGTTCAGTTTTAGAAAGTTAAATTTGAGATTCCTGTGTAATATCTAAAGAAAGATGTCTCCAAGTTAGGTACGTGGGTCTGGAGCTCAAAAGAAAGGTAGGAAGTAGAGCTAAGAATTTCAGACTCATTCACCTACAGATGGCAACTGGGACTGCATTTGGTAGAGAAGGAATAGCCTGTGCTTTTGGCGTGACTGTGAAGGCTGATGTGGCCTACCAACCTCTCCTTGTCACTGTGATGTTAATATGTGAGCTGATTTATGCCAGTGTTTCCACTCTAGTCAACTCATTCAGTAGAAACAGGAAGCTCCACTGCCAGGTAAAGCCTGCATTAGTAATTCTCCCTCTGAAAAGTGGAATATATGGTTGTGTTTTTATACTAACAAACATTGAGATGTAGTAAAATTTTTTTTTCTCCTCGTCTTTGTCCTCCTTCCCCTTAGCCTTCCATTTTTTTTTCTTTTTTCCGTCTCCTTCCTCCTCCTCCTCCTCCTTTTCCTCTGCTGCTTCTCTCTCTCTTTTTTTCCCACTCTTGCCCACTGTCATGGCATCTGGTGGCCTACATTTTGTATGGACACATTGCTGTAATAGAAGATCATTCTGGGAATTACGTTTCTACCATGCAATTGGAGAATTAAAGGCACTTTTATAACTGATTAAGATGTAACTATCTACCCCTCACTTTTCATAGGCACATGCTGGTTATAACTAGATTTGGAAGTCAAATATGCATATTTATGTAGCATACAATTATTTAAGTCTTATACAGCTACGTTGTTTTCAATTCTGGAAAAATATCACATGCTAATCACTTTTTTAATTTAATTTTTTAAATTAATTTAAAAAAATTAGTCCCTTTTTCCTAATAATTAATGCTGATTTATTTTGATTTTTCTGGTTAATAGATTTCTGTCCTAGATGAGACATGGACCGTATTTAGGCGTTACAGTCGTTTTCGAGAAATGCATAAAACATTGAAGTTAAAGTATGCAGAGGTAAGTTATGAAATAATTATTTCCCGCTGAGAATTTTTTTTTATAAAGTGAAAGATCTGATTGCATTATCAATGCCGTCTCCCTCATCCTTTTTCTTGCCTTCTCTCTCTTTAAATATTAGCCTGTGTCACTAAGTTTTATTTCACTTACTCATCTATCAAAGATAGCTTTTAAAATTTTTGTCCTTTGTTCCAGTTCTGTTCTACACAATTTAAATATTTTCTGAACACAAGATTTTGAAAGTCATGTAGCAATAAATAAACTCTGTATCATTTCCATGAATTTTACGATGAATTTTAAATATTTTAATTAATTCTCAACTTCTCAACTACGGAGTGAGAACTATAAATTCTTCTGTATAGATATGCCTTTTCCCTCTTAAAAAATACTACATTAATTTCAAACTTCCATTTAATAAGAAGTTGGGTCATAAGAGGTATTTTGCCATCAGATGTGGAGGGGAGTAGATCGTAAATATGGAATTACCTAGAAGCAAAGAGGCATTTCATGCATCAAATCAGATATCCAGGTTTTATTGATACAGTACTTGTCTTTTCTTTTTTTGGACAAAGACTAGCTTTTAAGATATTTTTTAAACAAACAAAAGTACACCTAGAATGAATTTGTGTCTTCCGCAATGGCTTATTATTATTGTTAATATTTCACTTCAACTAAAGAAAGCCTTCCATTGGCACAACTATTTGGGAATTGGGGATTGAACTAACAGCAGATCAATCCACATTCAGTCTAATTAGCTTGTTTTCACTGAGCTGCTTATCAGTACTGTTTTTATAATTTACTATGATGTCCTAAGAAATAATTTAGTCAGGAGGCAGGGCCAAGATGGTGGAGTAGTCAGACGCTTCCTGTGGTCCCTCTTACAACAAAGACCTGAAAAAACAAGTGAATCGATTATATATGACAATCTAGGAGTCCTGAACATCAAAGGCAAAGTTGAGGAATCAGGCTGTGTGACGGGGGAGGGAGAGCCAGTTTGGAAGCAGTGAGGAGTCGCCAAAACTGACCTGGCAGGAACCGGCACGCTGCCAACCGATTCGGGCATGTTTGGTGAGGCAGACAATGGTGCTTGGGACGCATTTTCCACACTGGGCGAGACCGAGTGGCAGAGAGCCTACTCAGGCCTCTAGGACCAGCGAAAAGCAGCACTTGATCGGCAAAAGATAAGTACGTACATCTAACCCACCGCATGGATCAAAAAACACCCTCTTTGGGAAGAACCTGTCTCCCATTTACCTGCCTCACCATTCTTCACTGGGTCCTGGGCTGGCTTCAGTGATTGCCTCATCCCCTGAGCTATTCTCCCGGCCTTGGAGACGGAGCAAATTGACAAATGGGAAAAAATAATCTGGAAGCTCCCCTAAGCCGGGAACTCAGGACAGGTACAGCTCCTTTGCCTAAGCACGTGCATAAGGGGTCCACGGACTTTGAATGCCTTTCACTCCTGCATAAACTCGTGTGGGCCCATTTCAACAGCATAGGCCCTCATAAGCACAATAAAACAGAGTATATACCTAAAGCCTAACTTCGACTGCATCAGCTATACGGTGGAGTGACAGGTTCCTGACATTTGATACCACTCTGCCCATTAAACAGGGTCCTCACCTACCCACATCGGGGGCCTGAGGAATGCTGGCTCTACCCACACCACCTAGCCACCCATGATGGGTCCAAGGATAAGTTGTGCCTCCCAGTCCTTACAGCCAACAGCATAGGGTGCCCATAGTTCAGCTGCAAAACCCACCCAGCTATGCGCTCTAGGGAACAGTGACATGCTTTCCTCCAAGACACTCAGGCAGCCATCAGCCCCTGCCTTGTTCCACACGTGACCCCCTACTGCAGCTAGATACCTATGCCTACTCTAATCATCCCTGCCGTCTAGGACTGTAGGTGAGAGCCTGCACCACTCACTTGGTGACTGACGACCTGGACACCTGAGCTGAAGCCATACAAGAAAAGTTAATGGACTCCTGGGCTTACATACCTATAACAGATCTAACCGCCTAGTGAAAGGATGTTAGAGCTTCAAAGCCACCAATAATCAAACTAGCTCACACGAGCAGCCTATTTGGGCGTATCAAAACAAAACGACAAGCTAGGACACAGTAAGCAAACATAAAATAAATAAATACAATAACTTATTGATGGCTCAGAGACAACAGTCAATATCAGATCACATAAAGAGGCAGATCATGATGGCTTCAGCAAGCTCCCAAAACAAAGAACCAAGAAATCTTCCAGAGGAAGAAAACTTCTTGGAATTACCAGAAGTAGAATACAAAAGATTAATATACAGAACTCTTCAAGAGACCAGGGAGGAGATCATTCAAAATGCAGAACAAGCCAAGGAGCACACAGACAAAGCAATAGAGAAACTTAAGAAGGTTATAGTAGAGCACAATGACAGATTCAACAGGCTGCAAGAATCCACAGAGAAACAGCAAACAGAAATGCAGAAGATTAACAATAAAATTTCAGAATTAGACAACTCAGTAGAAAGTCATAGGAGCAGAATTGAGGCAACAGAAGTCAGAATTAGTGAGATTGAAGATAAAGCACTTGACACCAACTTTTTTGAGGAAAAATCAGATAAAAGAATTAAAATGAAGAAACTCTAACAATTAAGAGGGAGACTTATCAAGAGGAATAACCTACAGGTGATTGGAGTACCGGATCAGGGGGGATAACAAAAAATACAAAGAGATCTCTGAGGTTCACTGTTCAGCCTGGGAGTGGACAGCCCCGTAAAACCAAATGAGACTAACGAGGTACAGTAGTCCAGTGACAAGGGCCAGAAGGCAGAAGGGGACAAGGAAGCTGGTGATAGGGAACCCAAGGTTGAGTAAGGATATTGTTGATGTGTTGTGAGATTGTTAACCATTGTCATAGGGCAACATTTGTAGTAACTGTTAAATGAGAAACTATTTTGCTCTGTAAGCCTTCATCTTAAGTGAGAATAACAGCACAATTGGAAGAGCGTAGTCAATGTCACTGAACTGTGCATGTAGAAATTTTTGAAATGGTGTATCTTTGGCTATGTGTATTTTCACCAAAAAAAATGGTTGAGAAGTTAGAGGGTTGACATGTTGTGGGGTTGTTAACCAATGTCATAAAACATTATGTGTACTACTGTTTCATGAGAAACTATTTGTTCTGTAAGCCTTGACCTGAAGTACAATAAAAAACAAACAAACAAACAAAAAAATACAAAGAGAATTGTTGAGGATTTGTTGGCAGAAAACTTCCCTGACGTCGTGAAAGATGACAAGATATCTATCCAAGATGCTCATCAAACCCCACACCAGGTAGGTCCCAAAAGAAGTCACCAGGACATATTAAAATCAAATTTTCCAAAACCAAAGATAAAGAGAGAATTTTAAGGGTGGCTAGGGATAAACAAAAAGTCATCTACAAAGAAGAGTCAGTAAGATAAGCTCAGACTACTCAGCAGAAACCATGCAGGCAAGAAGGCAGTGGGATGACATATATAAAGCCTTGAAGGAAAAAAATTGCCAGCCAATAATTATGTATCTAGCAAAACTGTCTCTCAAATACCATGGCGAAATTAGGGCATTTGCAAATAAACAGAAGTTTAGGGAATTTGCAAAAACCAAACCAAAATTACAAGAAATACTAAAGGGAGTCCTCTGGCTAGAAAATCAGATAACAGTGCAAGACTAGAGCACCAGACAGAGCAACCAGATATCAACCCAGATGGGGAAGTCACAAAAATAAATCAAACCTAAAACATTGTAAATTTGGAAACAGAGACGTCATTGTGTAAAAGATGACAACATTAAAACAAAAAAGAGGGATTAAAAAAATGTAGTCATAGATCTTTCATTTGGAGAGTAAGTCAAGGCAATATAAAGAAATAAAAGATTGGTTTAGACTTAGAAAAATAGCGATAAATATTAAGGTAACCACCAAGGAAACTAACAATCCTAAACATCAAAATAAAAAAAAAATAAAAAAAAACATGAAAACTCAGCAAATACAAAGTCAACAACAATGAAAATGATGAAAAGAAAATACATAAAGAAAAACAACTCAGCACAGAAAATTAAGGGGGACAAAGAAACTGTCAACAACACACACAGAAAAAAAGACATCAAAATGACAGCACTATACTCATACCTATCAGTAATTACGCTGAATGTAGGTGGACTAAATGCACCAGTAAAGAGACAGAGAGTGGAAGAATGGATTTAAAAAAACACGATCCTTCTATATGCTGCCTACAAGACACACCTTAGACTTAAAGAAACAAAAAACCTAAAACTCAAAGTATGGGAAAAAAAATACATCAAGCAAACAACAATCAAAAAGAGCAGAAGTGGCAATATTAATCTCTGGCAAAATAGACTTTAAAATAAAATACACCACAAAGGATAAGGAAAGACACTATATACTGATTAAAGGATCAGTACACCCGGGGGACATAACCACAATAAATATTTACGCACCCACCGACAGGGCTCCAAAGTACATAAAACAAACTCTAACAACATTGAAAAGAGAAATAGCTCCACGATAATAGTCGGAGACTTCAGCACACCACTTTCAGTGAAGGACAGAACATCCAGAAAGAAGCTCAATGAAGACATGGAAGATCTAAATGCCACAGCCACCAACTACATCTCACAGACATATACATAACATTCATCCAACAGCAGCCAAGTATACTTTTTTTTCCAGTGTACATGGAACATTCTCCAGAATAGACCACATATTAGGCCATAAAGCAAGCCTTAACAAAATCCAAAGCATCGAAATATTACAAAGCATCTTTTCTGACCATAAAACCATAAAAGTAGAAATCAATAACAGAAAAAGCAAGGAGAAAAAATCAAACACATGGAAACTCAACAACTCCTTGCTCAAAAACTACTGGGTTATAGAAGAAATTAAGGACGGAATAAAGAAATTTACAGAATCAAATGAGAATGAAAACACATCCTACCAGTACCTTTGGGACACAG